CTACAAGATATTACGAGCTGTGCCAAGTATGCGTAGTGCTAGGAACAGCTCAGTAGATTGGGTTCTCTGTACTTCTGATAAAACTCTGAGAACAACCTCAGCCCTCCTGCAACACCAGGTTATGCAAATGGATACTGTGTTGTTACAGGGAGCAGAAATATAGATACCCCTACACAACTAAGAGTCAGTATCAAAAAGCAAACCTCAGACTGGTTAGTGATGTATGAACCCAATATATTGTCATGGGTTTCAGTAGACAGAAATATGCACATAAACAAGTAAGTAACGGATTAGGTCAATCACAGTTCACTAGGTAATATGTTCGCTAGGCTATATGAGCATAGAATGGAGTTCTGGGCAGCTAAATTAGATTAAACCTGGTAATCCACAAAATCAGCAATAAGTAATTGCATTATAAAACAGTAACAGCAATGAAAATCAATAACTCATCTATAAACAGTAGGCTATATCCTCTTTAGAGTGCACTTTAAATGAATGGCAACAATAAAGTTTAAGATTCCCTAAAAAGGTATCTCTTACTATGGACAATAGTAAGAGGTATCTTTTGGTGAAGTAGCTATCTGAGTGAGCAGTCTTTAGCCCTAGATCTTCAGGCAGTTAGTGTTGGGGCCCAGTGTTTATGGTGGTGCACGAGTAGTAAATAATGCTGCTAGCTAGATGGCCAGTCCCTTTGTGCTAGGTGCAGGTTAATGGGAGAAGTGTCCTCTCACCAGTCCCAATGATACAGCAACAGGGGTCCCGCTGTTCAGCTGTCAGTTCACTTCTGTATCTGCCTGATATCACTCTGGTCCTCAACACACTGCTGGAGACTTGTAGTGCGTTGCACACAAGAGCAATGATGTGCACACCTCAGTCTCCTTGCAGAAAAAAAAATACAACTCCCTCTCTCCGCTTATACCCTGCTCATATTGGGAATTATAATCCAGTGGTCAATAGACTGTCATAGTATAGTTTATTTCCTGAACTTCATCCCCATGATATAATGCTGCCAACCATCAAGTCTCTTGAGCTTCTTCTGTGTGTCAGCTCCCCCTGGTGGATGGAGGAGAGGTAGTGTTAACCCATTCAGCTGAAGTCCATTGGGAGCACAGAGAGCACAGCAGCACCTTGCTACAAATACTAGAATAAATGTCCATTAATATGTACAACGCAGCTAGTCAAAAACATTACATTTTATCCTTCTCTCCAAATTCACACATACCTACTGTATGTGGTGGCCAACTTGTGGCCCATCAGCACTTGTTTTTATCGTAAATTGTATGGATTAAATATAAGAGCTAATTCAAATTTCCTAACAGAAATTTGAGTAGGAACCTATGTGCGGAAAACAGACAGTAATTTGTGTTTTCATTATCTAGGTCCTTAAGGAAAATTATTCTTTAAATTGTCAAACCAAAAAACTCTGTGTATCCCCAAAGAAAAGTCAATCTTTCACCTTTGAAAGTACAAATGTCAAAAACCTTTTCAACAATCTTTCCCCAAAACTTAAATTCTTTACCCCAAATTTCCAAAATAAATTCCAAAAAAAAAAAAAAAAATTTCACAATACAAAGTCCTCAAAATGTCCACACTATTCAATCTTCCAGATGTGATGAGTATCCAATTCGCCACTTCAATCCAAGATACCTCAAAAAGGTATCTTGCACTATATTGAGTTTAAATTTTTTTGAGGTATCTTGGATTGAAGTGGCGAATTGGATACTTATCACATCTGGAAGATTGAATAGTGTGGACATTTTGAGGACTTTGTATTGTGAAATTTATTTTTTTTTTTTTAATTTATTTTGGAAATTTGGGGTAAAGAATTTAAGTTTTGGGGAAAGATTGTTGAAAAGATTTATGATATTCTTTAAATTGGCTTTTAGAACTTATATGGCTTACATTAGTTCACACCAACTTACTCTGTGCTGCCCATTCCTTTCTGTTTTCACTTTTATTTTCTTTATATATGAGATCTTGATAAGAGGAATATCAAATGTGGCAAAAGCCATTTTAATGGGGCTGTAGGGAGCACAAATATGTAAGAACTGATTTGTAAAGGAGCTGTAAGGCCTCATGCACACTGCAGCTCAAAAAAGCTGCTTCTACAGCAGTTTGAGATGTTCTGAGCTTTTATTTTTCTCTGCCTGTCCTTCATGTTAGCCTATGTGTCTATGCACAGTATAGGCATTTTCAGGAGTTTAGTAGCAGGGGACTGACAGGCTACAGGCAGAAAAAAAACATCACTTGTGCGTTCAGGAGAGGAGCTTTTGAGCAAAAAAAGTTCAAAAGTGTGATAATACGTGCATTAGAGTGCATTAACAACTAGATGCATTATTACACATTCCCGCGTTAATATATTCTAATGGCCAGAGTTCTGGCCAATAGAATGCATTAACACCAGCATGCAAAAACACCGCTTTTTACCATGTTTGTAAAGCTGAAAACTCCTGTGGGGGAAAAAATGTTTTTTAGTTTCACAGTGTGCATGAGGCCTAATAACAGGGATCTCTGAGTAAGCCCCCTATATCAAGTGAGCTGACTACCAGTGAGGCAGAGAGAAAATAATATTTCTTTGATTAATTTGTTTTCTTGAGATCAATACAAGAAAATTGCAAACAAGCATAAAAAAAAGTACATTGTACAATACATATCAGATAGTTACAAGATCCATAGTTAATATAAAAAAAAATACAAAAAATACAAAAGTAAGGGTTAGGTGAAGTTAACTCTCTTTCCCATCTTTATTTCAAGGAAGGCTGACAGAAGAAAAGAAAGCTGAAATATATTTTGTTGCTATAAAAGCAAAAGCAGGAATTGTAATATTCAGTGTAGAGTGCTACTATTAGGCTAGGTTCACACTTACCTGCAGTCTGTGGGCTGGTTGAAGGTGCAGGTAGGTGGCTTTGAATGCTATAGTTTTATTATGGCTTGCTGCAAAAGTAACCGCAAGGGGTCCCTTGCTTGGCACAGGCACCATTCACAGAATATTGTGTATTTTTATGCAAAGTGTTCACTGATTGGAGGAAGTGGAGATTGTGATATTACCGCCCCATCTTGTCCAATCAGAAAACACTTTGCATTTACTGAGAAAAAATCAAGGCATTCTGTGAATAGTGTCTGTGCTGAGCAAGCGATCCCCTATGGCTACTATGTAGCAGGGCAGACGCTTGGAAAGGGACCTGGAAGGCCACAGTGATCACCGTAGTACTGGTGACTACTACTGTGATTCTCTGATTCCATAGCTGTCCCACGGATAAAATGTACACATTCTTACATTGGACCAAGTTTGGCCAATGTAACTATGCAATAAAATCCATACCTGGAGTTCAGCTTTTACAGAAATTTGCCAAGTGCTTCACCCACACCCAGCTACAATGCATTGGCCCAAATGACCAAGACCAGTCACTAGTGGTGTACCACAAGGCTCTGTACTAGGTCCTGTTCTATTTAATCTATATGTAAGTGATATAACTGAAGGTTTGTTGGGTAAGGTATTTTTTTTTTGCTGATGACACAAAGGTGTGCAATAGGGTTGATATCCCTGGAGGTCTTTGTAACATGGAATAGCTTATAATAGCCTATATTAATTCAACCACAATTTATGCTACAGTCTACAGCATGGAGACACAGACAAGTGACGGTAGAAAAAGACCATTGAGTCCGCTTGGTTTTGTTTTGTTTTGTTTTTTTTGGGGGGGTTGTTTTTTTTTTTGTTTGTTTTGATTTTTGTTAACTTTTTTGTCTGAGTATAGATCTATGCTTGTTCCACGCATATTTGAAGCTATTTACTGTTGATTGGCTCACTACCTCTGCTGGAAGTTTATTCCAAGTATCAACTACTCTTTCAGTAAAATAGTACTTTCTGAGATTAGTTTTGAACTTTCCTCCAGTTAGTTTAAGGTCATGTCCCCGTGTTCTTGATTTTGGTTTCATGTTGAAAATACTGCCCTCCTGAACCTTATTCACCTCCTTGATGTATTTAAAGGTTTCAGTCATGTCTCCCCTTTCCCTTCTTTCCTCCAGACTGTGCATGTTAAGGTTCTGAAGTCGCTCTTGATATGTTTAATCCCCCAGACATTTCACCATTTTTGTTACCCGTCTCTGGACTCATTCTATCTTATCAATATCTTTTTGTAAGTGAGGTCTCCAGAACTGGACACTATTCTAAATGAGGTCTAACTAAAGATCTATATAGGGGAATCAGGATCTCCTTCCTCCTGCTGGTGACCTCTTTAAAGATGCATCCTAGAATTCTATTTGCTTTCCCCTCTGCCTGGCCACAGTGTTTGCTCATTTTGCAATCATCTGAAAAAAGTACCCAGTCCAAGTCCTTTTCCTCTGTAGTGCTGGCCAACACTGTACCCTCAATGTTGTACTCTCTCAAGGAATTCTTTTTCCCTAGGTGCATTATTTGATATTTAGAAACATTAAACTGCAATTTCCACTTTTCCACAATTTCCTGTTCTATTTAATCTATATATAAGTGATATAACTAAAGTTTTGTTGGGTAAGGTATGTCTTTTTGCTGATGACATAAAGGTTCGCAATAGGGTTGATATCCCTGGAGGTCTTTGTAACATGGAACATGATTTGGCAAGAAGATTGGTCACAGGGGTTGCCTAAGACCATCAGAAAACACATATTTTCGATGGTCTTAGGAACCGAGACACCGCTCCTCTATCCGTCTTTAAATGCAGATACGATCACATTTCCCTGGACCGCGATGTATGGGCAGGATGACATGCCGCCCCTGTCATCTGGCCACACCCCCGGGATCACTCAACAGCTCCGCCTCCTTGCCGGTGATTGGCCGTCGGAACTGTAGCACAGGAGAGGCACACAGGCGGCCAAACACCGGTGAGGAGGTGGAGCTTGGAGAGGAGGAGCCAAGTGGCAGCACGAAGATCAAAGAAGATCAAGTGAGGGAGCTGACAGAGCGAGTGAAGAGGAGAGTGGCCAGAGAAGGAAGACAGCTGACCGGTAAGTGTCTGTACCATGCAGATGGTGCTGCTGCGGCCAGGTATGCTGGCTGTAGATTGGAGAGGGGGGAGCGAGCCCAGGCTGGAGCAGGGGTCAGCAAGGTAAGTATCATTGGTGTCAGTGGGAGGAATAGTGCCCCATCATTGGTGTCACTAATACCAATGATGGGGCACTATTTCTCCCTCTGACACCAATGATGGGGCACTATTTCCCCCCCACTGACACCAACAATGGGGCACTATTCCTTCCCCCACTGACACCAATGATGGGGCACTATTCCTCCCCCCACTGATACCAACGATGGGACACTATTCCTCCCACTGACATCAGTGATGTGGCACTACTCCTCCCACTGACACCAATGATGTGGCACTACTCCTCCCACTGCAAAATTACAGTTATGAAGTAGCAATGAAAATAATTTTATGGTTGGGGGTCACCACAACATGAAGAACTGTATTAAAGTGTCGCGGAATTAGGAAGGTTGAGAACCACTGGCCTAGGCGGTCCTTCCGCAATTGGGAGCCGGTACCTGTCAGCCCCCCCCCCCAGCCCCCAAAGGTGGCAATCCTTAATGGGGAGCGGGGGAGCAGTCCTTAAAGCGGAACTTCCCCTTTTGGGTGGAGCTCTGCTTTACTGCACAATCCCTCAAGTTTGCCTAAATAGCAGCATACAGCAGGATGATAGGGTAAGAAATCAAAGTACCAAAATACAAGGCATATCCCACAAACAAGCTAGAGTCAGGGCAGGTTGTGTTCAGGCTGTTTTATAAAACATGAGGGTCAAGGAAGTTGTCAGCCAGCATAAAAGCAAAGACACAGGCCAGGGAAGTAACTAAAGTAGCACTAAAGATTGCAGAGTACACAGGGACAGGGACTAATGTACAGACAGTTCACTGAATACATTGGTAGTAACTAAAGGAATGAGGGGCTCTTATACATTCTCAGGCACAGATACCAGGTACAGGTAAGGAGAAGGAGACACAAAATTTGAGATGAATACAGGCTATCAGGTAGTAGGAAAAAAATGGGTGAAAAGCCTTAAATACATTGATAGAGAGAATGTACAAAAATACACCAGTCAAACAAACCAAACTAGCATGATTCTTAACAAAAAAAACACACAGTCCTATAAAATGTTCCTTTTTTGATATAGCATGATGGGGACACACAGGTTCTGAGGTCAGCAGATTGGCAGCAGATGAAATATCTGCATCTCGCCTTCTCAAATTATACTAGTCAGCCAGATCAAAGCCTATGTATTGTGTAATATAAAAATAGAAAAGGTATATTGTGTATTGTTCCAACTTATGTAAAATGCAGAATTGCAAACTTTTTGTTGTCTGGAAAGTACATTTCTAGTATCACTGGGTGCTTTTGTAAAGAGCAGAAACTGCCTATGATAAATGCTTAAACTTAATCTGGTTATAATTTGCCTTCCTTTGTTCCTCCATTCCTCCTCTCATAAACATGCTATTAAAAAAAATATTCCTGTTTTAATGACATAACTTATTTTATATCCAGTGACATCATGACTGGTGGGAGGGGTCAGCAGGGTGTTAGATTTGACTTTCTGAAAATATTACAGCACCCTGTCTCAGTGTGATAAGGAAAATCATAAAGCAGGGGCTGTAATGTTACCCTACTGGTGTCCAGGAAATGGGGGCTGGCAACCATTCACTATTCCAGTGCTTGTATGAAAGGTGTAAGACACCACTCTTACACCTTACACCCCGTCACACTGCTCATGCTGCTCCTGAATGGCACGTTCTGAATGGCACCCCCACGCATCTCAGGTGCCAGAACCGCAGGGAAACCACATGGTAAAAAAGACCACGCAGTTTACCTGCAGATGCGTTTTTGAAAAGGTGCATGCGCTTCTTTCTTGTGTGAAATGTGGGCACAGCAGCCCATTCAAATAAATGGGCTGCCATGCCCACACAGATTCGGGCCGCACAGCTTGCAGTAGTGTGAAACAGGCCTTAGCAGTGGTATTATAGGGAACGTGGGATCCTCCCCAAGATTCATACCAGGCATTTCAGATCCCAATTAGATTCTAGTGTGTAGGTGGGTGGGATATACCATCTTTTGTGGTCTTAGTGGTAGGGGGCATCAGTGGGTTGGTGGCACACCTCAGCTCTCTTCTCTCTCATCTGGGGGGCGGGGGGAGGGTGGGTGGGAAATTTTCCTTGGGGGGAGGTCACTGTGGGAGGAGCAGTGGGGTATCCCGAGAGTGTCTTTTGGGGGTCTGTGCTTTCGGGTCCTTTGGGGGTCTAAGGTAGCGAGGAGTTTAGGTAGGTGGGGGTCTGGGAGGGTTGGGGGTGGTTGCTGATGGTTCTGCAGGGGGGATTTTAGTTCCATCCGGGAGATGTTTTTGTGGTATGTTCCTAGGGGACATTCGCATACCATCGACCAGTGTCCGCCATGGGAGGTCCTTTCATGCTGGGGGTGGAGGGTCCTCGCAATTGGATATGTACACCGGGTCTTTGATGCAATCTTTTTTACTATGTATGGTTCATTAATAAATGTTTTTTTGAGGTTAGCTTTTTTGGTGTTCAGTCTATGTTCTTCTCTCATGGTTTTTGCAATATATTTTTAGGTAGCATCCTTCCAGAACATTATGGTGGCACCTCATCTTTATCTTTTGCCTTACTTTTGTGTTCTCCCTGGCCATCCTTGTTTGTCCCTCTTTCCTCCTTTTTTACAAACAGGAAGGGTCACCTCAGCAGAGACAACAATACAGCCTTGGTAGAGGGTCTAAGCCTTTCCCACTCAATCTAAATTGTAAGCAAAATATTGTCCGTACCACGGGCGGACTGACCATTTGGAAACTCGGACACTGCCCGAGGGCCCAGGGTCAGTAGGGTGGCCCCATGAGATGCCACTGGTACCTTTTTCATAGGCTTTTTTTAGTTTGGGCAAGGACACAGGGGCCCCATGATCCCCTATTGCCCGGGGGTCCCATGAGTTGTCAGTCCGCCCCTGGTCCGTACATACACTTTATGGAGTTGTTCACGTGGCCATCTGTTTTTTTGTTTTCCCCATTTTGTTTTTGCAAGAAAAACAAATGAGAGACACAGGAAACAGATACAAAGAAATGTAAGTAGTACAGAATAGATAACTCTAGTTCTTTATGCAACAACATATTTTTGTCTCACTATTAGAACACTGGGATGAAAATAAGAGCATGCTTTTTCTTGTTGCTTGTTTGATGCTACTGAGTCACCCTCCAGTATCCATACAAATATCAGCTAGGCAGTGGCCTAAAACAAAAATGTTGCTTATGCTAAATTTTTTAATCTATCTAACTAGTGTTAGCAATTTTACAAGCAAATCTCATATAGGTAGAAAAGCATGTAATGTGTGATCTCATTAAAAGTTACTGTAAAAACAGCCTCATGCACACAGGACGTTTTTGCAGCTGTTCCTAAAGGTGTCAAGCATTTTTTTTCCTGCCTCTAAACTCCCCTGCATGTTAGCCTATGTGTCCATGCACACAGACTTTTAGCAACGTTTAGTGGCAGGAAAAAAACCCTCTGCCAGTGCATCCAGGAGCAGCAGAGTTTGGGCAGAAAAAGTGCTTGACGCTTGTAAATGCATCCAAACGCGCCTAAACGTGTCTCAACGCTAAGCGTTAGCACTCCGGCGTTAATTAATTTAATTGCCCAGAATAAATTATTTATTCTGGCCAATGAAATGAATTAATACCCAAGCGCGTGACACCTGTAAATGCGCCTAAGTGTTTGTAAAAGTGTTAGACACTGCAAAAACACTGCTGGCTTCTTGGAGAGTTAAAAAAAAAAGTCCTGAGTGCATGAAACCTAAAATGAAAAGAGCCATAACGCACATTGTGCTGAAATTATCACATTGTGATATGTTCGCTATGGCCACAGAAAGTGTGCATACACAATTGTGTGCACTATGTTTTGTAAATACCCTTCCCATAATAAATATCTGTACATATATTGGCCTTTTGGCTTCAGAAAAAATGCCCTGCAAGAAGCAAAGGAAACCTTTTTTTCAGTTTTAGATAGAGTGAAGATGGATTAGAACATCTGTCTCATTTTTATTGTTGTCTAGGGCCTTCGTAAGGGAGACACCCTCTTTTTCATAAGGGAGACTCCCCCTCTTTATTTGTTCTGGCAACCATGAGAATCGAAAGTGCAAGTAAAAAGAAAATCCTGACTTTTGGGTTGTCACCAGAACAGGAATTGAGGGGAAATCTTTCAATGGGAACACTAGTACTGGTAACCCAGGTAACAACCAGGAATTCCCTCAATTTAGAGGAAATTTCCTTCACATCCTGTTTTGGCTATGGTACAGGAAGTAAAGGAGATTATTACTCTACCCTACTCTATCCAACATGGAAAACATGTTTTGCCTTTAGTACTTTAACTTGAAAAGTGAAAATAATTTCATGTGCTGAAATACTGTAACATAAGAAGTATGTAGTGATTTTACCAGCAACATTCTACTTAATAAGGCTCCATGCACACTGGTGGTTTTTTTTTTCAAGCTCGAAAAATGCTGGAGAAAACACACTGGATAAAACTGTTGGTAATAGCATTTTTTTGTAGCATTTTAGCAGAGTTTAGAAGCGTTTAGGAACGCTAGTGTATTATTAGAGTTTTTACAGTACATGTAGGGGAAAAGAAAGCTGTTAGGAGCGTTTTAGTAGCATTTAGGAGCGTTCAGCATTTTTTTCTTCCAGAAAAAACACTCCCAAAAACTGCACAAAAACGATTTTTTCTGCTCCTAAATGCTGTAGCTTGAAAAACGCTACTAGCCTAATTCAGTGTACATGAACACATAGGATAACACTATTTAGCTTCTAGGAGCAGAAAAAAATGCTGATAACAGCTTCTAGGAGTTTACAAAAGCTAGTGTGCATGGAGACTAAATAATTTAGCAAATTATGGATTATTTTTATTTTATATTCTATTTTTAGGAAATACCTAATCGTAGTTGGTTTACATTTACCTTTATTTAACAAACAACAGTTTTACCACTTTCGGGCCACCTGCCCGAAATGATCACAATGACAGCAAAGCTTTCATGTATCAATTTGATTCATAAAAGCTTTGCTTCTATTGCACATGAGGCCAATCACAGCACCATGTACCATGTG